GAAGCTAGACCACCATGAAAAACCTGGAAGCACTGGATGGCCGTTTTATCCTATTGTGGGACCCTTCAGCAGTGCACATTCACGACCCCGCCTCGTGGGATCCGAACCCAGAACCTATCAACCTCGCGCCAAGCGCTTAACCAACTAGACCACTGAGCCGGCATCAAACTGTGTTAATGCCTAACAAGAGTTCTAGTGAGAAGTAGTGACCAGTGGAGTTCAACCGGGTCATTTGTGAGGTAGTAACTCACTGATGACGATGGTGGATCTCCACAAAACCGTTTCTGGTACTAATCAACATATGCTCACTAGTGACTGACTTCAAGAGACATATCCTGGAGTCCTAGTGAGAAGCAGTGACCAGTGGAGTTCAACCGGGTCAGTTGTGAGGTAGTAACTCACTGACAACAATGGTGGATGTGTCCCTCAATTTGGTGGATTAGTTGAAGTTAGACATCAACAACGTTGGATGCCAGCTCAGTGGTCTAGTTGGTTAAGCGCCTAGTGCGAGACTGATAGGTCCTGTATTCAAATCTCACGGGGGGCATGGTCGTGGATGCACACTGCTGAAGACTCCCACAATATGACGAAACGGCCATCCAGTGCTTCCAGGTTTTCCATGGTGGTCTAGCTTCAATTGACTCACGATCTCAGCTATTGAAAATATTATTTGTAACTAACACATAAGATGCTGATTAATTGCTTTTCCATAGTTTAAAGATTATAAACAATACAAAATTCAATATTACGAGATTATTATCGTTTTCACTAAAAACTTCGAATTCTACAAATTAACCTTAGTCTTGCTTAATTGAAGATCGAATGCTATATGCATATATATATGGGAAATCTTGAGTTTCACTACCGTCCGATTTTTTCAAATAACTGTAGAACGTCTATGCCACAGAATAAATACACTATCAGATAAAAATTTATTAATTTATAGCTTTACAAGTACAGTCTTTCTCTAATAAAACAATTGAAATTCTCACAAACATTTCTTCTATTTTCTGTAAACACAAATTAAGATTTACGCGTAATAATCATTGCGTGTTTTATGTCCAAAAAAAAAGTAAAATAATGAAAATGAGAAATAGTCGAAAACACTATTTATCTGATTATTAAAGTGTGATGCATATTTTGCATGAAATTTTATTCCCTTTTACAGAAAACAAACTAGTTACAATGTAATATCAGTTCACACGAACCAACTAACACATCACAAATAAGAGTGTAATGAATAATATCGTAAGCATATTTAACTAAAAGATTGATTGAAAGACTCCGTTATAACTTATACGTCAATTGAAATTGCTGTAAAAGGAACATAACTCAATCATTACTAATATCTTATGTCTAATAAATAAGAATTTTAATAGTTGAGATCATGAGTCAATTGAAGCTAGACCACCATGGAAAACCTGGAAGCATTAGATGGCCGTTTCGTCTTAATAAATAAGAAATATTTTTTTATAGTTTACCATGTGAGCTGATATATAATAGACAACGAGTGAAAACCAGGGAGCACTGGACGTAGTTTTTATTCCACTAAGAGATTCCTTAGCTGTAACGATCCATAGCCACATCAGGAATCAATTTCTAAATCCTATGACTTACATCATGTTTAATCTCATTTTAGAATGAAAGACTCATTCAGTACTTCCTGGTTCTCTAACTAAGACCAATCAGTGATAACGACTACAAAATCCAACCACCTCGACAAACTCTATCTAATAAAGTGTTATCAGATAAAACGAAAACCACTGACTACAGTTCATAAAGATCCTTTGTAATTTAATTAACCTTATTTGTATACTAAATATGAGTTCATAATAATATAATTCAACTTTCCTTACACAAAACAGGTTTACATAAATAAACTTAATTTGAAAGGAACGCCTTCATTTGACGTAGACGATCTTAATCTCATCGCCGAAAAATACACTTTATGTTTGTGAAGACGACAGACAAAAACTGTCAATTTTTCAGTCTATTATTTTAGAAATTTTACAATTCAGTAAATTCTTTCCCACATAGGTAATAAGTATAAAACTTAGGCTATCGCAATATTTAGTTTTAGATAGATTTAATTTCAACTGAGTCATTTTCAAGTGATTGGACAATTTTAGTTCGATTTATTTTAATTTCCTTGAAAATATTTCCTCAAGTGGATCAGACTAAATTGTAACATTATTCACTTGCGCTTTGAGTATACGAAAACTAATCTAAATATTATGTGAAGTTAAAAAATAGAGTAGACTTTTAGAAAACAGTCAACCTGAAACAGCTATATGACGTTTAATGAAATAGTTTGATCATATGAAGATACCTATAATGAACTATAAACAATATCACAATTTTTACAATACTCCTAATACTCAGTCAGTCAGTAACAACGTAGAACTTCGTATGTGCGTACATCAGTTCGAGTTGCCATACAAAATTACCACACAGATACAATTGCCGACTCAAATCCCATAGTGGTAGAGGTAGTAACAGCATAAACACTAATCAGAAAGATTAGAGTTTGAAGATGCTTTTCACGGAGTATATTCTGGTGAGATAAATTTGGAGAGAAAAAGGACGTGAAGAATTCAGAAGATTAGAATTTGGGAGAACACAAAGAGTGTATGCACCTGCACCATTGCAAACGACTTTCAACCGTGCCATTCAACGTCTCTAACCATCAGTTGTTGTCATCTCGCGGTCCACAATCAGGTAGTCTACACCTATCAACATGGCTCGGTCCACTTGTCAGTGACTTCATGGACTTGTGCCATGTTTCGGTCTGGCCGCTCCTAGCTTTCTTCCAACCTAATCCTACACCATAAAACATCACACATCGGGGCAGTCAGTGGTTGGGCATACGTAACACGTGTCCCAGTCATTCCAACTGATGAATTTTCACTGCTTCATCAATTGATTTGCCACCCATACCTAGTACCTGTTTCCTAACAACTGCATTACTTACTCGATGGTCTCAGGATATACGAATAATGCTAGGAAGAAACCTATGATCGAATACTAGTAACCTACGAATATCCTCTACTCTTACCGACCATGCTTCACAGCTATAAAGTAGGACGGAACGAACTGCTGCACGGTAACCTCGTCCTTTGGTTGCTAGACGGACATCTCGCCTACTCCATAAATGACGCAAGTTGACTAAAGCTAGTCGAGCCTTCTGTATCCGTGCTGAGATTTCGTCGCACACCGGACCACAAAGGCTGATGAGGCTTCCAAGATAATTGAAGAGGTCGACACGCTCAACTATTTCACTCACTATTAGTATTTCGAGTGTCGATGCAACCCAATTCTGAAGCAACATTTTGGATTTCGAGGGGGAGAATCGCATCACGAACTTGCTGGCATTGTTGCTTAGAGTGGTCAGAAGACTGCATTTTGTCAGCGTCTTCACCAAATAGAACTATGTCATCGGCATATTCTAAGTCAACAAGTGAATCTCCAGGTAGAAGTTCAACCCCTGGAAATTTAGATGAGGAATGTGTTATCTCTAAAAGCACGTCAACGACAAAGTTAAACAAGAATGAAGAGAGTGGACAGCCCTGACGAACACCACTTGAGGTAATCAATTCTGATGGCAGTTCGCTATAAGCTCTCACTCGACCAGTTGTGTTCGAGTAGAGATCCTTTACAAGGTTAATGTACTTCTTTGGTACTCCTTTCAGTGACAAACAATGCTACAGAACCTCACGATCAACAGAGTCGAATGCCGCTTTAAGGTAGAGATATACTACTATTGTGGGGGGTCTAAATGTGTGTCTATGTTCTGTGACCTGACGTAGTGTGAATATCTGGTCTATACAACCACGTCCAGGTCGAAAACCGGCCTGATTTTCTCTAGTCTGCTCTTCACGTGCTTTAGTTAGGCGTCGAAGTATTATTGAAGCTAATATTTTAGACACTATATTAGTCAAACTGATTCCTCTGTGATTGTCACAAGGGTACTTTTGTCCTTTCTTATAGACTGGCACAATCAGTGATTGAAACCCAAGTCAGATGGGTTTACGTCCAGTCCCCAGATTCTAACTATACTTCTCATACTACTATAAGCCATTTAATAAACCCTTTTTTTTAAAAAAAAGTTAAATATTGTGTATAAATATGACCATCTGTTTTAAAGTTCTTGATCGAAAATTCATTCAGTGAACTACTTACTTCACTTTAAAATTGGGCCTCAATCAATTTGAAAATATAAAACGATAACTAATCTTAGCATTTCAAAAAGTATGCAAGAACTTTCTACTTGAAAATTTGTGTTATTCATAACTAAAAACAACCAACAAGTCTTAATTATAAAAAAAGCATCAAGATGGGAAAGAACGATAACTTTACAAAATATATATTTCTATGACATTTGACTTTATTATATTTTGCTTACATACAACATACAATATTTATACATTGTATCTTTTGTATTTTAGATAAAGATTCGTTTAGTTTCTAACTAATTCTTTTACAGAAACTATCCAGTATTTATGATCTTCTTAGTTGACTTTTTATATCACTTAGTTTGTAATTTATAGACTGAGACAATGCCAATGAAGTTCAACTCGTTATTCGTCTATAGAATGCGGTAGAGAATGAGAGAAAGAGAAAAAACAAAACAATAAAATTATACAAACCGAAATACATCCTTTAGATGATATATTTTTTTCAATTAGTACAAAGTCATATATCATTTCATTCACAAAATAGAATTAATAAATATAATCTGTGCAACGCAAAATGCAAATATTTTCCGGTATATTGGAGGAAAGAGTTGAAAAAATCAAAATATGTATTTCAAGATGGATATACGCCAACTTATTTGTAAAGAAATATAATCAAAACTTTCTAGTCAGAAGAAGAATATGAAGACTACAAAAACAACGTGGTAACAGTAGTATTAGTAGTAGTAGTAATAGCAGTAAGTAGTAGGTTAGAAAATAACTTTTTAAAAAAAACGGTTTATGTACAAATTTGACAATCGTCGAAATCTAATCAGAAGTATCAGAAGAGTTTGAATCCGAAGAAGAAATTGGTGCTTTACGAGAAACTTTCTTGCTCTTGTGTTGTTTTTTATGTTTTGTTTTATGTTTTCTTTTGCTGTTCTTTGTTTTTTTATGTTTAGCGGAATCACGATTGACAAGATGAGATTCCTAGAATGAAATTAAAGGAAAGTAAAATAATAAACAATTATTTGGGTTTCTTTTTAAATGTAAAGTGATGACTAAGTACCCAAACTATTAGACCTTAAGTAATAAGCCATAGAGCTCTCAAACCTAATCCTGGCAACTTCGGTATGGACACACCGATAGTATCAACAAATGTGTACTGTGGCTCATAGGCGAGTACATGATAAACCAGCTACATCAAAATCATTAGTGTATTTTGCTTTGTCCACTGTCCCAATTCATCCTTTCGTAATAATGTGGTGTGGAGACTTAGTTCGATGGATATGTGTCTTAAGTTCCACAATCCTTATCACTGACAGATCATTTTACTGAGTGGTAAATAATACAGTAAAGGATCTAAACATACTGTATTCATACATGAGTGTGTGTGGATCAAGCACTAGTCACCTTCCACGATTAATAACAACTGTTCTTTACAGACTGAACTAAAAGCATTATTTCACTTGATCTTATAATACAGTTTCCTGAAATCATAAAACTAGGTTATTATCGATACTTCAAAGTATAACTCGTACTTAAGTTTTACTGACAACTTCATCAACACAATGATAATAAGCTTATAAATTTTAAAACGTTTTACTAACAAGCAGTTTTATTAACACAGGTGAAGTATAAAATACGTTGAATGTTAGTGGAGTAATTTCACTTACCACAAATAAAATATCATCTGACAAGGTAGAACATGATGCTTTTTCTTGATCTTTTGTCAAAGAAATTAGATTAGCTTTATCAGATGTAGGAGCTAAATAAACAATGAAATGAAACATTAGAGAAAAGAAGATACGATGGTTTTAAACAGAAACTATTCGAAAATCTCATAAATAAGACTTGGAAATGATTCAACAGTTTAAGACAAATAAATATTTTCAATAACTGGTGACCAATGTACCTATTTCGATGTATATTGTATTTACTGATGGATAGTTTTATTACGTTGTCTAATACTCTGGTAATGGAAAATTCTACACTCTTATCTTATAATATAAAATGACATTTGTATATGGTATTTCGAAAATACAACAGCCATAGAAAATAGAATGGATTATAGTGCTTAAACTTGGAAGAAATACAAAAACATACCAAAGGTTTTTATTCATCTTAAACAAGCTAATCGTTAATAGACTGAATTAAATGTGACGCAGTTTAATTTGATGATCAAGTACGATCTCATGTACTGATCCTCTAGTAGTATGTCTGGTATGAACTATCAGATAATCCAATTACTCATTCGACGTTGTAATGAACCAGAACACAGGTGGGGACAACCGATTTATTAATTGACACGAAATTACAGAATCTCTTGATAAAATATGAGAACCATACACTAAATACTGCATCTGCGAAATTCTATCATTTGTCCTTCACATTCTATATGATTCTTCCAATTCACAATTCCTTTCTATTTCTGTTTTCTTCAAGTCGACCTTCATAGACTTCTACTGACAGGTTTTCCACTTCCGAATGATGTAACATAATATTTATGTCTGTCGACATAAACAGTATACACCACAACGTTATTATGAATGAAAAACGAAGTCAAAATTTAAAGATTTCATTGTGAGATTTGTAAGTCTTGACTATGTAAGATGATAACTACAAAAGGATATTGCACTAGGAATTCTACCACTATTCTCAAGGACCTAATCATTAGTTTCAATGAATTATTTAACAAGTACTGATTACTCTTCGGTTTCCCGTTGAATAAAGTCTGAATACAGTTATTTCACAATTTTTTAGTTCTGATGAAACAGAAACTAACTGAAAATGGTCATTCAAATACGCCAGTGATATCCAGATAAATATAAAAAAATTATAAACACAATCGAAAACATACTAAAATTCGGCGGTAAATCCGGTCCATACAATAAATCCGGATTGAGATTATTCTGTGAGGAGGTATGAACTTTGGACGATACTTCAGGTCGTGTAGTCATTCGTGTTAAGCCGGATAATGGACCACCTAAAAAATTAAGGTAATAAGATATATGAACCAGTTAATAGATTACCGTAAATAAAAACTTACGCATATCTCCATTCGGTTCAAATAGGTGTGAAAATAATGTATGTGCTTTGAATAAATCAGGCTGATCTAAAAGATAAATAAAATATTCCAGATAACCAAAAGCAGGATGTCTCGAAATTACCATTAGACAGTTCAACGGAATTCGATTTGATAACTCTCGATACGTTTAAATCATCTTTTTCAGGGTCTTTATTGTTAATATTATTATCATCAACGTCGTTATCTGATAACGAAGATGAACTCAATTCTTCATCAGATGCAAATATTGATTTGAACAAATCCATTGGAGGCTTATCTGTATGATCAGTAAGAACATCTATGCCTATTTCGGAAGAGCAGGACCCATAACCCGTGCATTCTAGTAAACAAAAAGTACAAATAAAACGTACGTGATTATTTTATAAAGTGTATTAAGGAGTCCTTATTTCTTATGTCAGGATATTAAAACACGTTACATCAATACTGATCACGAAAAGAAGGCACTATTATTGACTTATAGTGTTTTTATACTTAATACCTATTTATTTAAACACAAACATTGGTACAAGGAGGCACCAAATACGTATGCACCGCACAAATCATATGATTTTTGTGAGGGCTAAGATACTTCCTGGGTGCCCAAAACGAAGCAGGTGGTTTTCTTAGGGAGCCACTTCCCGCGCCCTTGACCTAGAGGTTTAATCTACAGGGCGGTGGAGCAATGTAAGGAGATTGAGTCTCATGGTAGTCAGTGACCAGCAATAGGTTCATATGCCATTTGTTTCTTCAGGATCCTGGAGCCCACGTGCACCACTGGTTTGGAATCAGGGTTTTCTAGCAGTCCTGGTTGGATCATTCATATCTAACAACTCGATTAAAGCACCGAACTTTCGCTTTTCGTCACCTCAATTTCGTGAACAGCACTCTAGCCGCGAGAAGGCAGTGAGTGGGACTTTCCTTGCAGTGGCTGTAAACGCGTGGTCAAGTGAGAGCATTTCGAGAGAGAGAGCTGACTTTCCCCACTCTCGCTCGTACCACGGTTTTTGGAGGAGTTTTTATACTAAATTTATACAGTCATACAGTTAAACTGATAAAGTTATATATGTGATATATGTTATTATTTTGTTCTTAACTCAAATGATAGGACTATTTTAACACATGTTTAACAATTCACTTCGGTCTGTCGTCATTAACGTATGACCTGATAAGAACGGGTATTAGCCAAAGTCCTCATACCATATCGGCACAGTGAACGAAATTTAACAAGATGAATAGCTAACTATTCGAAATAATTGTATAATGTCAGTGACAGTGAGAAAAACTAAACATTGGTAAATATGTTTCAAGAAGAAGATATGTATGAAAAGATACTTAAACTCAAAACTTATGGGAAGATAAGGAGTGAATCCAGCTGTGTCAGTCGGACCGATTTCAGTACTTGGAACCCAGTAAGATGCCTAAGACAAAGTCAGTGATTTAATAAACTTATCCTATATCTTGGTTCGACTGCTACTAGCTTTCCTCCAATCTACACTTAAAGTAGTCATCATCACGCGTCGAGGTAGACGGGAATACTTAATATATGTTACAGCCATCTCAGTTGATAAAGTTCACAGTCACCATACGCGAGTAATTTTTCGAAGACATCGATGAAGAAATAGTAGTAACCTACGAATATACTCTAACCTACAGTAGATACCATTCCAGCGAAAGGAAAACATCAATACACGATCAATATATAATCTTAAAGGTTAGATAAAAAAAGGTATTTGAGTTGATTACTTCCTTGACATTTTAACTCAATAAATACTAGATTTTAAAGTATCATCCATTAAAGATGTCTAGCTTATGTAAATGAGAAAAAAGCAGTGTACGAAACACACAAAACAAAGAACCCTTTTAGGTAGAAAGAATTAAATTATATAAGTGAAGAAGTAGAAAATAACATTAAAAGTCAAGATTTAAACAAGGAAATGATACACTTGTTAGTGCCATTTTAACCAATCAGATAACCGATAAGAATATGCCATGTAAGGTTTAGTGCAAGAATCAAAGGTACCGGATATTAATAAAATCTGTAGATAAATACACTATAAATGATAATTTTTGAGCAAAACGAAACTTACTGATTCATTCACAATCTCACTGGTAGTATCATGAGAAATTTTATCTGATGGTTGGACGTTTTCTAACAAACTATTATTATTATTATTATTATTATTATTATTATTATTATCATTTTCCACAACATTGTCTGTAGTTTCGGTTGTTTTACTCTGCTCAATAGATTGAAACAAAGTTGCGAATAAAGCTTTTCCACGAGACTGAAAAGTTGTACCAGTCAGATTAGGCCTATAGGGTGTATTACTGGCAGGAAGTTCTGACATAGTACCAGAAGGATCGTTGCTGTCACTGTCAGAAGAATTAGACTCGTCACTTAATTGTGGTTCACAGGAAGTAATATTCGAAGAATTCAACTTTTGAATTGAACCAGTAGTGTTAACATCCAATAGATCAAAAATAGAAAACTCATTTGCCGTGGAACTATCAGAGAATCTACTTTTCCATGTTTACCAAACTTTTGACGAAAAGGATTACGAGGACGTCTATCATCCGGACAGCCGACAAAAGTGGAACTATGAAAGAATGAAAGAAATTATTGTGTAAATTTAACAAACATTTAGCTTTTATTCATGCAAATCATTTTAAAAACCTTAAGGCAATTTTCCAAATAAGGAAAAGTTGAAAATAAGACTAAGTGAACATTAAAAAAAAACGAACTGAGATAGGATACACAGTAGAATATCATCAATGAAATAGACTTCTATTATGAAATGTGATTTTATGAGCGAATGAGTTAGGTGATTAAAATGAATAAATATAATGCTGATAAATTGGAAATATCTAATGACACAGTGTGGTCAAGTGATGACTACCCATGAGACTGAATTATTGACACAAGCTTACAGTGAAATTGATATCAGAAAACAAGACAATTGCCCAACAGAATAGTTTTTTTCTTCTGACAAAATAACATGCTTATATGACGAGCACAAGAATAAACATGCTTGTAAGTTGCTTAACAAATAAATGAATAAAGAATATGACAACTATAGGTCATTCGCTTTTCAATAGGATGTTGAACTATCAAGCTTAATTCTTGCCCATCATGTCCAGTTCAAGGTCGATTTCATAAAATAATTGTGACATTTTCTATATAGACAGTTTCATAGAATACCTTCATATGTAGTTTTGACAGATTAATGTAAATTGACTAAAGCATTCAATACAGAGTGGTATATATATATATATATATATATATATATATATATATATATATATATATATATATTATTAACAATTGATGTTAAAAGCATCACTATTAATCGAACTTTTTATAAAGTAGTTTGCTTCCTTTTCATATTAATAAGTATGAATTACCGACACTATTCACCCTTATATAATTTATCACTAATAAGTATTTTTATCAATCAGTCATAACCAATGTTGAACGTGGAACATAAATATCTCAATTCAAATAGCCATACTCCATTAGCATAATGAAATGAAATTATTTGGGTAAATCTCAAAGTTCTAGAGATAGTAACAGTATTAGTGGCAATAGAAAGATTAGGCATCGAAGATACGATTGGAAATAAAATTTGGATTAGCGTAATAAAAAAATAATTTATGAGATAAGTTAGGAAATTAGAATTTAAGGAGACATAGAGTGAATGCACCTGTGTCGTTGCGAAATATTTCAAGTCACGTCACCCAAATTTTCTAACCATTGGTTATAATAATCACATGAACCTCAACCTGCCTACAGTCAGTGACTCTACGGACTGATACCATGCCTTGGTTTGACTGACCGTAGCTTTCTCCAAACTTACTCTTACACCAGCCCGTCAAGGTAGTCAGTGGATAGGATTACTTAATACATATTCTAACCATCCCAGTCAATGAAGATTCACTATATCATCAATCGATTTGCCCTCTTTACCTAGTACTCTGCAACTAACCTCGTAACTAATTAGGTAGTCTCAAAATATAGGAGCGATGCATTAAAGATACCTATGATCAAATACTAACAATCTACGAATATCCTCCATTCTTAAGGACCACGTTTTCCGGATATATAGTAGAAGAGAGAGTGTTGATGAGCAGTATACTTGTCCTTTGATTAGCCAATGGCTGTTTCGCCTTGACAATAAGTGAAGTTGGCAAAAGCCAATTGTGTTTTACGAATTCATGCCCATCACGGTTGAGAATTCTGAGAGAAATGGACTGATCGAAACACTCAACTATATTCACTTTAAGAGTCTGAAGAAGATTTGTAGCTTAGGTGGAGTTTTTTTCTCTGAGCTGGATGAGTTGGTAGAATTTTATGCTGATAATGTCGTTCAGAATAATGATGAAAGCTCCACGACCAAACCATCCAGCTCAGAGAACAAAACTCCATCTAAATACATTCAATTTCGATCATTAGTTTAGGCGTTGACACAGACCAGTCCAAAGTAACATTTTGTATTTAGCAGGAAAGAAACAAACTTCAAACATACTTGTATTATTGTTTATGACGATCAAAAGACCTGGTATTTTATAAACGTTCTCATCAAACAGAACCATATCATCAACAAGAGAATTTTAATGGTTCCACTAACTATAACAAATTTCTTAATAAATAAAATCAACTCAATAAAAAAATTGTTTCAATTGAAAGGTTAGAAAAATATCACACATTTATAATCATCTACAAAATCTTTACATAATAATAATAATAAGTTAATTACTATTATATAATAATGTAAATAATGGTTGACCCTCTATTGATAACTGGAAAACTTTACAATAAGAATAAAACAATGCTTATTTAATTTACAGTTTAAAATAAGGTCTGTGTCAATCAATGTATCATTTCATTAAAGGTCATATAAGAAGAGAAAATAAAATGAATTACAGGTATTCTTCTTTAAACAAAAAAAAAAGAAACAGTTGTCTTTTTCACACAAAGTTTATTTATCTTAAGTGGTAATAGTAAATATTATACATCATAAATAAATAAAAATAATAAAAAACATCAGCTTGTAACAATAGTAAATAGTAGTGGAACAATTTTAAATTGTTAACTTAATTTATTCTATACAGTTGGACTTCATTTAAGGTATTTAAACAAAGCAAGAACAATTGAATCAGGACTATATGTATTCACTTTATGTTATGTACACTATTCAGTTATGTTTTAGATCTAACCTCAAATGACCTTATATATATATATATATATATATATATATATATATATATATATATATATATATACAAATAAAGTTGTAAGAAGCTGAAAAAAATCTATAAGATGTATAACGAACATTAAAAACCTGGAAGCATTGGATGGCCGTTTCGTCCTAGTACGGAACTCCTCAACAGTGCGCATCCACGAGCCCGTACAGGGGACTCGAACCCAAGACCTTCAGTCTCATGCGCGAACGTTTAACATTTGGACCACTGAACCAGCATTTGATGGTGCTAATGTCTAACTTCAACTAATCCACGATATTGCGTGACCATCTTCCACTGTTTTCGGTGGGTAACTGCATCACACCAGTGACTGTTGAACTCTACTAAGATGAAATAGCCGTCCAGTGCTCTCAGGTTTTCGATGGTGACCTAACATTAATCGATTCATGATTTCAATTTTTAAAAAAGAATAATTAGGAAGCTTTTAGAATTTCATTAAAATTATGAGCCAATTCAAGTTAGACCAACATTGAAAACCTGAAAGCAGTGGATGTTCGTTTTATCCAAGCATGGAACTCCTCAGCAATGTGCATCCACAATCGCACGTGCGGAGATCGAATCCAGGACTTCCGGTCCACATGCAAGCGCTTAACTTCTAGACCAATGGTCTAACCTAGATAGGTTCATGAAATTTCAGTGAAATTCAACAATCTCTGCAACTCTTCAGTGACAGTTTTTGAAGTAATTCATTTCAGTGAGTGAATAACTTTGTTACACTTGATGTTAAAAGACTGGCCTATATGAATGTTCTTTGGAGTAGAATATAAAACAAATGTAGACTAATCAACTTTACGAATGATTTTTACTAATTCCTCGAAACGCATTGAGTTTATGATTGGAAAAGATTAACACTAAAAAGGAAAATTAGTATCATTCTACTTTTTTATTGAAACATAATTTATTTACTCAATCTCCAGATTATACTTATCAAAGTAGAAATAAAGATATTATTAATAACAAACACTTACTCAGGATACGGATCAGGAACATTTATACGTTTACATAAAATTTTATCAGGATGCCATTTTAAACGCCGTCTAGTTAAAGCTCCATAAGATTCTGTTGCAACAGCATGATCACGTGGCTCAACTGTATCTAAGCTCTAAGTGAATAAAAAGAATAGGGATTACATAAACAACGTATAGTCACATTTTGTTAAGAAAACTGAAAAAAAAAACAATAAATTGATATAATTGTATAAATTAAAAGCCTAATGACATCATGATCTATTTATTTAACAAAAGAAATAATATCAACTTCAATTAGACACAACAATTTTAGACAAACAATGGTCTGTGAAAACTTGCAACAAGTCAACATCTAACACTAGTTCACATTTTACACACTGCTTTGGTATTGTTTTTTCCAAGTCTGAAAAAACATCCCTCATTAACGACACCAATAATCAAGTAGTTTTTAATTTAAAGAAAATTAAATTAAGACATAGAGACAGGAGTGAGTGGTACAATAAGCAGATCTCTTTTCAATTGTACAATAATAATTAGATAGACTTCTAGAATTGGTAATTTACATGTTTACTAATAACTGTTTCAGTGTATAAATGATAACTTGAAGAAAATTACCAATCTGAGTAAGTATATAGTACGGTTTATCAATAAAAATACCTGAACATTTAATAACACTAGTGATTTTTTATGCCAAAATAGAAGATTCTATACACGAACGACAACTTCAAATGTGATACAGTTGCAGAGAAATAGGAAAATATTTTGAGGTCCTTCAAAATCGAAAGAAGCTTTCCAATGACCTAAACAAACAAGTACACTCACTTCTGATCAAATTGATGAGAGTTCTTCTAGGGAACTGCATGTTGGTTATTTGAAGCATACTCTACATTAAAGCATTTAACAGCATTATTCCATGTAGTCAAAAACAGTAAACCTGTCAACATTGATTATCTAATAAAAACCAAACAACTATGACATTTCTGGAATGCATAACCTTCATAAAAGAAATTATTCATTATAAATGCAAAAGAAACACATCCAACTGCCTCAACTAAGACAATAATTTCAGGTCGAACAGATTATTGAGTTATCATACCCCAAACAAAATTGTATCGTTTTCTCTCTATAATCTTGTTGAATTTATATCATTTTAGAAATCGTCTCATCATTGTTATGCAATCTATTTTCAGAACCATTCTTTTTCTCAATTTAATTTCTATGACATTTTTAGCTCATTTCTCAATTTTGATAACAAGTAATTTTCTTAATTAAAAATAAAACCACTCCTTTGTTACTACATTCGATAGATTATTATTATTATTATTATTATTATTATTATTATTATTATTATTATTATTATTATTACCAACAAATATATCATAGTTGGCTAATATAAAAAAACTATGCACATTTGATGATTTTAAAAAAATGCCCAAAAAGTAATCGCTTTGCTGAAACATTGTTTCCACTTCCTTTCTCTCTATTGTTTTAATGTAATTAAATAATCAAGATAAATAGATTAATTTTAACTGAATATAGCTATGAAAAGTAAAGATCTCTATAAAACTTAAATTTGTTTGAGTGATAGGAAAATGAACTTACTTCAACTCGTGCTCGTTGAGCTTTCTCTTCTTCTTCAGTTAATTCTTTACTGATATCCATACAACCAGCAGAACGAAATCTTAAAGCTAATTTCGATGAGATCAACTGTTGTTTATGAAGTGGTAATTTATTTGATAATGGCAGTAGTCTATCAGAAGGATCAGAAGATATAGTTGATGCACTAGAGGTTGACGTTGAAGTTTGACAAATCATTGCATCATTATTCATATTCACTGGATCCATTTGAGAAGAATTATTAGTACTTGACATTTGATTCATTTTAATAAGCGTTTGAAACGAGTTAGCTTCACGTTCCTTCTCTTCATTGTTTAAATCCAATAGGGTAGAGCAACGATGATAAGCATCTTCATCTATAGTGGATAAAAAGTGAGGAAAATTTGTGATAATAAAAACATTTCAATGAATATAAAACTTGGTAAACTGTATAGTATAGGATAGGACAAGAGAAAAATATCAATAAGCAATCGATATATTACTCGCAAATTACACAATTAAAATCAATCTTTTTATTCCTTAGAAAAAACATCAAATTTTTAAATTTTATAAATATAGAAAACAAAATTGGACTAAAATAGTAAATGTTTCGTTTGGTTTAAAATTATAAATCAATTAAGTTGTCATATGAACTAAAAAGTGCAGGAATTCAACACGATCCAGTAATATATTGATACACTTTACAGTGATAGTCCCCAAATGCATTGTACGGGGCAGAGAGTGAGGAGAAACTTCTTAAACCGCGCTTAAACGAGGTTGGTGTGTACGGAACAATCTACCTGGGAGAATAGGAAAACTATTTGCAAAACAATGGTGCACGTGAGCTCAAGGGTCCTGGTGAAACAAATGGGGTACGAACCCTTCCTCGGTCACCAGGTACCATGGAAGTGCATCACCTCAAGTCGCTTCATTCGATTATGGGTTGGACCTCTAGGTCGAAAGCCCGCCGAGTGGCCCACTAAGAAAAACATCTGCTTAGATTCAGGCACTTGTGGAGTATCCCAGCCCAAATAAAAATTTAATAACTATTTTGTGTGGCATTTACATATTTTCAGTCAGTCAGTAACAACGTAGAACTTCGTACGTACGTACATCAGTTCGAGTTGCCACACCACATTAGCACAGAGATGCACTTGTCGATTCAAATCCCGTAGTGGTAGAGGTAATAAGAGTATAAGCAGTAATCGGGAAGATTAGGGTTTGGAGATGTTATTTAAAGAGTATAATCCAGTGAAAGAAATTTGGAAAGAGGAAAAAAAGGGACATGAAGAATTCAGAAGATTAGAATTTGGGAGAACACAGAGAGTGGATGCACCTGCGCCATTGCAAACGATTTTGAGCCATGTCATTCAGGGTCTCTAACCATCGGTTGCTGTCATCTCGCGGTCCCCAACCAGGTAGTCTACACCTACCAACATGACTCAGTTCACTTGTCAGTGACTTCATGGACTTGTGCCATGTTTTGGTTTGGCCGCCCCTAGCTTTCTTCCAACCTACTCCTATACCACTGAACATAGCACGTCGAGGCAGTCGGTCGTTGGGCATACGTAACACGTGTCCCAGCCATCTCAACTGATGAAGTTTCACTACGTCATCAATTGATTTGCCATCCTTACCTAGTACCCGTTTCCTAACAACTGTGTTACTTACTCGATGGTCCCATGATATATGAGCAATGTTTCGAAGACACCTATGATCAAATACTAGTAACCTACGGATATCCTCTACTCTTACCGGCCATGTTTCACTGCCATAAAGTAGGACGGAACGAACTGCTGCGCAGTAAACACGTCCTTTGGTTGATAGACGGATATCTCGCCTACGCCATAAATGACGCAAGTTGGCAAAAGCTAGTCGAGCCTTCTGTATCCGTGCTGAGATTTCGTCACACACTAAACCACAAGGGCTGATGAGACTTCCAAGATAAGTGAAGCGGTCGACACACTCAACTACTTCACTCCCTATCACTAGTTCGGGTGTCGATGTAACCCAATCCTGAAGCAACATTTTGCATTTCGAGGGAGAGAATCGCATCCCGAACATGCTTGCATTGTTGCTTAGAGTGGTCAGAAGACTCTGCATTTTGTCAGTGTCTTCACCAAATAAAACTATGTCATCAGCATATTCTAAGTCAACAAGTGAACCTCCTGGTAGAAGTTCAACCCCTGTAAATTTAGATGAGGAGAGTGTTATCTCTAAAAGTACGTCGACCACAAAGTTGAACAAGAATGGGGAGAGTGGACAGCCCTGACGAACACCACTTGAGGTGATCAATTCTGATGACAGTTCGCCATAAGCTCTCACTCGACCAGTTGTGTTCGAGTAGAGAGCCTTTATAAGGTTAATGTACTTCTTTGGTACTCCTTTCAGTGACAAACACTGCCATAGAACCTCACGATCAATCGAGTCGAATGCCGCCTTAAGGTCGAGAAATACTACCATTGTGGGGCGTCTGAATGTGTGTCTGTGTTCTAGAACCTGACGTAGTGTGAATATCTGATCTATACAACCACGTCCAGGTCGAAAACCAGCCTGGTTTTCTCTAGTCTGCTCTTCACGAGCTTTAGTTAGGCGTCGAAGTATTATTGAAGCTAATATTTTAGACACTATATTAGTCAAACTGATTCCTCTGTGATTGTCACAAGAGGACTTTTGTCCTTTCTTATAGACTGGCACAATCAGTGATTGAGACCAGTCAGATGGGATTACGTCCAGTTCCCAAATTCTACCTAAGACCTCAGTTAATCTCATTGCTAATACTGGACCACCATCCTTAAAAATCTCAGGAGTAAACCTGTCAGGGCCTGCTGCTCTCCCTCGTTTCAGATTTCCTATGGCTTTTTCAACTTCGTAAAGGGACGGAGGACCTACATTAACTTGCCATTCAGGTTGACTGGAGATCGTGGGAAACCGAAGTGTGGCTGAAGGCCAGTTGAACTGATCCCTAAAGTGTTCTGCCCATCGATCCAATCTCCTGGATTGAGAATGAATAATATGTCCATCTTTCTCTGAGATTGTTTCGCTAACGGTCGGGTTCCTAATTCCGGTTTCCTTAACGAGTCTGAACAATTGTCTGCTATTACCTATTGCCGCTGCCTTTTCCATCTCTCTTGCTTTCGCTACCCACCACTGTTCGCGATCATTGCGTAGACTTCTTGTCAGCTTGCGCTTAAGCTGACTCCGCTCTTCATTATGTTCAGAGCCAGGTGGAATGTGTTTCCGAGCATCTATCAGTGAGATAGATGCTGCTGAGATCCAGTGTTGCTCCCTAACCTTCTGGTTTACCTTACTAGCAGATATCACTGCTGTTTCCACAGCTTTTCGGATATCATTCCATGCTGCATCGGGGTGGGCATCACATACATGGCTGCCTAACTGTTTTCCTAGTTGTTCCTGAAATATACTCTTAGCTTGACTATCATTAAGTAGGGCCCTAAGAGGTTTCCTTGCAGGGTCTTTCCTACGTCCAGTAAGACGCAAGCAAATACGCGCTCGCACTAGAGCATGATCTGAATCTAGGCATGTGCTCCAGAATGAGCGACAGTCTTCTATCGAGCCCCTCCATCGGTGGCTGATAGCGATGTGATCTATTTGGGTCCAACGTTGGGACGAATTAGGGGGTCGCCATGTTAAAAGATGTTTTTCCTTATGCTTAAAGTTAGTATTTGCAAGGAACAGGCGGTTATCTGAGCATAGCTGCAACAGACGGTCGCCATTATCTGTTCTTTGAGCCACGACACCATAAGATCCACCTAGGTGTCTTTCCTTATCACTTAGTTTGCCTACTTGAGCATTAAAGTCACCGGCCACTATTACTACATCCGAGCGCCTAGCTTTTCGGAGAAGGTCCGAAAGCTTTCTGTAAAACTCATCTTTTACATCATCTGAGCTGCAGTCAGTGGGAGAATAGGCAGAGACGACGAAGAGGCAACGACGAGTGTCCCTATCTTTCCGGATTCTTACTGTTCCGTTCAGTCGGACAGCGCACAAACGACTGTCTACTGGGATCCACTCTAAGAGAGCTAGTTCTGCCCTAGGACTCAATGCTATACCTACGCCGGCGAGGCCACGGGAAGCAGAATCAGGGCTTCCAGATACACGAAGCGTAAATCGAGTCGGTTCTTTATTTTGGCATGGTGAGGTCAAATGAATGACGCTACTTGGATCCTGTATGCGCGTTTCGGAGACGCAGCACACATCGATGGCGCGAGATTCTAAAGTTTTAGCTAAGGAAGCCTGCTGTCCTATTTGGCAAAGTGTTCGTACGTTAAAAGCTCCTACGTGTAGTTTAGAGCGTGGTTTCAGGAGACCAGGAATGGCGTTCCACGTACTCGAATCGTTTGCCCTAGCGGTGCGAGGTGATAAAAAGACGTGAGGAGGGTTAGTCGGGAGGATAAGAGAAGTATTAGGAGGTGTAGGAAGGATTTGAATGTGACCACCTTGGTCTCTTGTGCTGTTACGGGTATGAGGGCTGATGTCACTTCCCGGCTGCCCACACCGTGGAAGGGTATTTCTTGAGGAACCTGAAAAGGAAATTGGATTAGTGTTGGTCTTGACGACCTGGGAGCGTGACCGCAGAGCCCAAGGGACAACTGCTTGAGGCCGGTCGCGCACGGCCTTTTTGTGGAAGGTTTTTGACGTGTTAGCTCCGTTCTTCAAGGGGCCTTACCGCCGGAGACGGAAATCCGTGAGGTAAGGTGAGGTGTGCATTTTTAGGGTCGACCTTTTCTAACCCCACCCCTCCTTGTGGGAAGGCAGCATCGCTGTCATGCTGGTTGTCCGAGGGAAACACCTTACTGCTGTCACACCTCTCTACAGTCAGCAGTACGACTTCGCCCTCAGACCTTGAGTTGCTGCTTTTAGTCTTACCGTTCGCCAATCGACCTGCCTGGCATGGTAGAACCTGCAGGAACATATGTTCCAGCCAATATAGCTCGGTTGGGTCATCACGATAGGCAAGCCCGATCACCGCGTCAAGGTAGCAGCTTCGATCGGGTTTAGTGCTCCTTTGTACCAAAATTGGTATGTTTAAATAAATATATATATAAATAAACACAATGATATGAAAGGATAAATGTCAAAAGGAGCGACAAAGTAAAGCATCAGTTGACAGTGCAATTATATATCAATATGAATTAATGTATTTATCAGGAAGAAAAAAATTGTTATCAATTCGATACAATAACATTGAATGAATATTAATTAATACCACCAACATCCTGGTATAGATTCGAACAGTTGTCAATAATCTTAACAACCACTTAGTAATATTATTAAGAGAAATAATTCAGAAAGAAGTATTACGACCAATTTTACTTATAAAATCTATTGAATAATGATTTTTTCGAAAAACAAACAACGTAGAATTATTGTTGATCTGATTGTACTATTAGAAAGATCTGTAAGTGACTTAAATACACAACTATCATAATCCTTATTATTATTACTCTTAATATTGTTTTTATTATAATTATGGTCATTAAGCAAAATAACACTTCTATTTTACTTTCAACAATCGTCTCTTGATTCTTACATTACTATACTACTGATCATTCATTAAAACATTTTGTTAGTTCCTTCTTCTCTTTTTATATATTATGCAACGTAGCAACTGCTTGATTTTCGAATAATTACTTGGATTATTATTAATCCTCTTTCTTGTAATTACTCTATGTTAATTTATAATCGATATATCATTACACAATTATTACGCAACGTATCAACTCGGTATTATTTCATTATTGCAAATTATATATATAATGTTGAAAGTAAAATAGAAGTGTTATTTTGCTTAATGACCATAATTATAATAAAAACAATATTAAGAGTAATAATAATAGGGATTATGATAGTTGTATATTCAAGTCACTTACAGATCTTTCTGATAGTACAATCAGATCAACAATAATTCTACGTTGTTTGTTTTTCGAAAAAATCATTGTTCAATAGATTTTATAAGCAAAATTCTCTTAATAATATTACTGAGCGATTATTGTGAAATTGAAGAGAGAAACAGACAGAGAATGATAACGTTGAACCTTATATAAAAAAGGGCAGATTCACAATCCCCCTTGTGATAATAACACTTTGATTGAGATCATCAGTCGATTGATGTTAGATCACCATTAAAAGTTGAAAGAACTGGACGGCCGTTTCGTCCTTGAGTAGGACTCCTCAGCAGTGCGCATCCAGGTCCCTGAAAGCTGGATTTGAACCCAGGACCTTAAGTTTCGCGCGCGAATGCTTAACCTCTGGACCACTGAGTTGGCATCCCATACTAAGACGAAGCAGCTGGCCAGTGCTTCCAGGTTTTTAATGGCGGTCTAACATCAAACGACTCATGATCTCAATCAAAAACTTAACACTCTCCACAACCCCATACTGGTTTATTTATTTATTTTAACACATAGATATTGGTACGAGGAGGCATCAAATGCATATGCGCCACACAAATCTCATTTGATATGTGTAAGGGCTGTGATACTGCACGGGTGCCCAAACCGAAGCAGGTGGTTTTCTTAGAGGGCCACGCCCGGAGCCTTCGACCTGAAGGTCTGGTCCACAAGGCACTGGAGCATCGTAAAGAGATGTAGTCCCATGGTGGCCGGTGACCAACGATTGGTTCATACGCCATTCGCTCCCTCAGGATACTGGAGCCCATGTACACCATTGGTTTGGAATCAGGGTTTTCCAACTCCCCTAGGTGGACTCTCCATGTTCACCAACCCGGTTGAAACGCCGGACGTTCGCTTTTCGTCCTCTCAATTTCGTAAACAACACCCCCGCCACGAGAAGGCAATGAGTAGGACTTCCCTGGCAGAGGCTATATATGCGTGGCCATTTTGAGGCCCCCATACTGATAGTCACAATGATACATTGGTAATGATATGGTAATTAAAAAAGGACATAGGATGTAGAAAACCGGAATGAAGTAGATTAAGGATACTTGGTCACGATTTTAAGAGAGATAGAATACTCTGATATAAACAATCTGGAGAAAGTTTTCATTCAAGTGATTTACAGCGTGTTGAACATTTATTTCAAAGAATTCTTACTCATAACCTCAAGATACATGTAATGACAGATAAGTGAAAAGGACGATCGGTGCTTAAATCAGGCTGGTATGCATGGAGGGCTCATCCAACGAAGGCTCCAGGATGTTAAATCAACTAAAAGCATATACATGAACCTACTATGGAAGTAAGTATGTAGGCCTTACTACAATATCTTTCAGATATGACCTTTAGGTCAAAACCTAGGAAGTTGGCTCAAATAATAAGAATATGACTGAAATTGATATTATTATTCTAAGCATATGAAAATCAGGAAGTACTGAAAAGCTCTAGAATCTCCCAATTACAAAAATACACTAATCGTCTGGTGAACACCAAGCTTTGAGGTTTCCTGGTCCCCTGATCCATGTAAAACTGGAAAATATTCGAATGACTTTCTCAAGTTCTAATATGTGACGAATACAAACAGACCTTCAAATTAACACCGATTACTAGACCACAATATTGATAAAGCCCATGGTTTTCCAACTAAGAAAGATACTGTGTTGAAGAAAAGCTATCAGTTTATCACAAATATCAGGATTCCTAATCTGAAAAATAAGTTTAACAAGTATCATACTTAGTCCTCAATAAAAAATATATACATATATGTATTTAAAAACATACGGGCAAATCCTCGACGAACAAGTACTTGGTAAGCCTCAAACCGTGCTTGTTTATTACTATCCGTTTTAAAAATCTTCAACAAACCAGCAGTTGGATTAGAAGTAGTAAAAGCAGCTAGTTTATTTGAATTTTCAGATTGATTTAATTGTTGTTCAGCTGGAGAAGTCTTTGACACTAGGGCTGGAACAGGAAGGCCCGCTGCTGCAGCCTTCAGACGAAGTTGTTGGATAGGATCTAACTTTTCATAAACTGAATCTGAAATTAAATTAAATAAAGCCAGTTGACAACAATCTGAGTGGCTTCACCGTTAGTATTTTCAATAAAATTGACTCTCTACTCTAATTTTTTTAAGAACAAAATGAGATGATCAGAAATGAGAATGCATACACATACAGGATAAATGAACGAAAAAGTTATATGAATATAAGAGACAACTTAGATTAAAAGAATAAAACATTTATAATGTTTTCATACAACAAGTTATCATAGATTATGAATGATGATAGGAGAGTATGGTAGAAAATATTTAAAATGATTAAACAGTTGTAATGACATTCAGTTTTGCCGTATTTTGTAAACTTTGGAAGATTTTTCTTCACTTTGTCCTCAGATAACATTATTACAATTGGTATTATTTACATAAATCACATTAAATTCGTTTACGTTACATTTTATACAATTATTTGATTACAACCAATTACATATATCTATTTTTTACCAAGTAAATAATATTCATTCTTTTTGTTTGAATAGATTTTATAACATCTACTTTCACCAATACTTTTTTTGATGTAATGTTTTGTTCCAAATATCTACTGCCATTAACTTTAGTATCCTAAACGCAAAACATGATAAATTCTTACAGATCTACTATTTATATGTTCGTTTATTAAATCAAGTTAGAAAAAGTATCTGGAATGGATAGTGATTCTTTTTACGTATTATCGTCTACTTCAGTTACTAATAGGAGGGTCCGAATAGTCGAAGAACTAACTATGCAGAGCACTTAATTTTACAGCAACTCTTCTCCAATCAATTTCGATTATGAATACGTTTTGCTAAGCCCATTTTATAAACTCACTTAACAGATAATGTTATTCGGACAGTAACAATTAGCATATTTCTTTGTATTATTATGATCATTATCATGGATGTATAAACGTGTAGGCTTGATCACAAGACAGTCTATGCAAATATATCTCACTAGCTAAAATGTTAATCCCCATGTATATATGTACTCGAATCCCATTATTAGACTTTGCTTTGCCCCTATGCGATTTGACTATAAATTCGCTTCTGGAATCGCTCACGAACACATTCGCCTCTTCGCCTCAAATTCGCTAGATGTGCTTGTAGCTTTGTGATCTGTGACATCCGCTAATAAACTGTAGTTGTCGCTTCCTATTGCTTTCTAATGTCAAACATCGATGACTTTTATATAATAGCGGTTATCAAGGTGATTAATTAACGAAGCTGAACCACTACTACAGTTTTCAACCAATAGATTATGAAACAGAACCCCACATGAGATACTTCAGTACATGTAGCTGAGTAGTGTTATTTACGAACACTTCATAAATGTGGCTCAAAGATAGGAATACCAACACGCGATTATATAGTACTTGATTGACAGAAAAAATAAGTAGGCGGTGGTCTTCGTCAAATAAACCAATTCACTCACAATCAGCTTGCCCACAGTTGTATTATTCACTTGTTATATGGTCGTAAAACAGCAGATGTCTCCTATTCTTAAAAAACAATCCAAATTTTGTTCTTCAAGTTGACTACAACAGTATGGTGAACAATAAAATTAGAACACTTAATAAAGATGACTGTTAGCTGATATAATAATGTTAACAGAGGTAACGTGATCGAATTTCTATTATTTTAGTCCAAAAATAACCAATAAAATCTTCCCAATAAATCAATGAATTATCAGCAATACGCATCATAACTAAAATTTAATATAATTTTAAAAACATGACAAAATAATCCATGAATTCCTGCTTTTATATGAATAATTTTACCGGTAAAATATGAGTTACTTATGAGTAGTATAAAACACCAAAGAAACTTCCATCAACCATTTGGTTATATGTTTTGAATACATCCTAGACATGCCTTAATAAACCACTCAAATACATTTGATTAGATTTGAATCACGTAGAGTACATGACAAAATATCTGGTATCGAAAATAGAAAATCCATAGATTGGATCGTCATAACGGATAGGCAATCAGTAACAAAATAAAGTAAAGAAGTTCAGTGCATCCACTTACGGAGAAAAAATCTCAAACGACAAATAGAAATATGAAATATTCTGAGTAATTAGCACTTAACTATATGACTCAAACCCAATAAAACCACAAGAAAGAAAACTTTTTTTACACTGATCAGTTGTCATAAAAATCGTGTACAACAATGAAATACTTTTATCTATCTCAAGTTAACGTCGTCAATAATAGAGGCGGTCAAATTCTTGAAATCCATTTGTAACACTTATTTTTTTCGTACTTTATTTAGTACAATTTTGAATCCCTGTTCACTTATAGTTCGCCAAAGTCATAATATTGATTAGGCAACTAATTATTTTGTCTAGATTTATTTATAATGCTTTCTGAAATCGTGTGCCTTCTCGACAAACAGCCAAAGTTTTACGATTACATGAGAAATACAACTTTCACCCTGTTTCCGAACCCACTGAAAAGATTTTCCTTCCTTCAAATAGTGACAAAATTGTATTACATTATTTCCTATGGAGATAAACCAAAGTATTGGTTGGAATATGAAAGTTGACATCGTATTCCCTAACAATATGAGCGATAAATAAAATAAACTTTACAAATTCTACAAAAACATAATTTGATGCATATACAATCACCACACCGAAACCTACCTTCTTGGAGTAAACGGGCTCGTGAAATAGCATCATGTTTGACATGAGGGTGATTGAATGAACTTGATTTGATACTTTGTTTATTATCACAAGTTAATATACACCGTGGATTAAAGACCGGAATGTAGCCTGGAGGTAAAGTCACCTGAATTGGATGAGTTTTGAATTCATCTTGTTTTGTTGATTCACTGCAAAATCCAGGCAAAGTATCTGAGGATGATTTGTTCAATTTTTGAGATGAACCTGACGATTCAAATATGACATCAATTTTGATTAACTGATTGTATTATTTCAAAAATTGGTACATGTATAAAAAAGTTGGCGAGACTAATTTATGAACGAACGAATCAGGTACAAGCCAACAGGTCTCGGACTTTGGTGTGAAACTCATCCATCCATTTGCTTAAATAGAGTCTTGGTATTATAGCTAATGTCAGTTCGTGATGAAAACCCTAAATCCAATTCCTAACCTTAACCATCAACTGTAAATCCTAATTCGAATTCCTCACATTAATTTATAAACCTCATTTGGTCCTAGTTATCAAGTGGACACTGTCAAGGTCAGTCTAGCGTCGCTCAAAGGTCGTCCATAAATTATAGTCTCACCAAAAAGTCTACTTACTTGTGCTATATCAATTCATTAGTAAGTGGATAGATATTGAAGTAACATACATGATAGTCGTTGATAATTTCTACAGATAAATGATAGATACAGTCACATACACAGTGTATGACACCTACAGTTCACATTACTAACTATCGTACTTCATATGTGGACTCTAGGCGATATTAATACCAAATAGTGGACTTAAAACGAAAAAAAATATTCTACTACCATTTAATGAGACTAATAGACATCGTCTGATACTACTCATAAGTAGTCCAAATATTTAGTTGCAAACAGCAGATTGCTCATTGAATTTAAGTGATTTCTGTGGTTGACATAACCACTAAATAATTCCATTGAGTTCGGATATAAGATGGATTGCATGAACCCTCAACTGACAAGTACAGTATTAAATACTTACGATGTTGTGAAGGAGCAGTCCACCCATCAATAATTTTAGTACGTTCAGTAGAACTAGAATTAACTTGTGATTTCTTCTTCGTAGTAGATGACAAACGTCCAAGTCTAGCAGCCTCAATTTCAGCCTGTTCTTCATCTTCATCTTCGTCATCGTTTGATTCACCATCCCCTATTTCCCAATCATATTCTGCTAAACGATCTTGTTCGTACACATCAGCATCTTCTTCCTCTAAAGCACCTACACCGAAAGCATGGCCTAGAGAAGAGTATAAAAAACATATGATCAGGTGTATGTAATAAGTGTCCGGACACTACCTGAGAATAGTTAACTCATTGATTATTTTTATTATTTTCGATGAAGTTATCATTTGCAGGTTAAAACAATTGATGATATGAAAAAATGGTGGATCAGGTTGAACTGTCAAACTAACTGACACTACGAAGAAACCACTAAATGACAAGAACAATTAGGATAAAATAAGACATGTTTCTTGACCTTAAACTGTGTAACTTTATGTTGATGGTTGATCCATTCCCTCTAACCAAGGTTGGACCTATTTGCGCAACTGACATCAACTTTAAACAGTATTTAAACACTAACTACTGATAATATGATTTCGATGAGGAAGACTAGATTTACCTCATTCACTAAAAATGACAAGCAATATCTTCATAGATCATCACAACGCCATCTAATCATCATGGGGTTTTCTTCTTTATTCTGCATTCACAATACCAAACGAAGATCGATAAGTGAACAAGAAATAAGTATGAACTACATATGTTTCGGGCACATCGGTCAATATCGATTCAGGATTTTAATTGCTTTTACCTTTTTTCCTTAATTATTACTCCTGTAACTAAACAAATGACATCAGCTAATAACCTACTTCACGACAAAGAAAACAGCTCAATGTAATTATGTCTTATATAAGATCGACTATTTATATTATGCACAAAAAATATGTACATTACACCACATTTTACCTACCAGTTATGCCATGACGTTTTAATCCACTTTTAAGATCAAATTCATTTTCGTTACGAATTTTCTGTTGTCTGTGTAACAGTGCACTGACAGACTCTTCTGGGTGTCTGTTTGACCAAATATCCTCAGTATCATTTGAGTTAAGCTTACGCCGACCCATAGCAACTTCTGGATCCAATGGTGAATACCCCAAACCAAATGTATTAGTTTTAGCCACAAAATTAATTTGAGCGAACATTGTAGGACCTTATACGCAAAAAACAAGTGATTATTTTCATATTTTATATAATTACGGTTGAATGTACAGACTAGTGTTCAGTGATACAACATTGTTCAATTATATTTGAAACTTCTTTCGGACTACAAATCCAAGAGGGCTACCCACATAACCATTGACCACACCATTCATCATTAGTATGAATTTGTCACAGACGACACAATGGGTTTACAACTACAATGATATGATCTTTCAATCGCTGAATGGTCATACTATAAAGATATCTGGGTGCAAAAAGTAAGAAGTGACGAAACTAGATTCTCCACTTGTTGATATCTATCAGCAATGAGTCTATGACTTCAAGACAGCTGAGAATCTTCCTAGAATTCAAATTTGCACCATCCAGTAATACAGTCATAGCGCCTACGATTAAATGCCTACAGTTACATTCAATATCCTACCCTGTAAATCAGAACCGATAAACTATTAAATTTCACAAAGAAGACATCTAAATTTTGTAAAACGATATTCTTTACTTTTTTGGAATTTACTAATCTCTGAAGAGTAAGAGATCCGCCCTAACCCAGAATGATACAACTAAGGCATCCGAATTGTAAAGAACTTAAATTTCGTCAGAAGTTCAAGCATATCTAAATAATAGCAGTTCACGTGTGTTCTGAACATTGAAATAACTAACTCCATACATTTAACATGATGAGAATAATTTATTCCTAGCTCCATATATCACAACTTAACTAATACTGGTTAAAACCACAAAATAAGAGTCCTACAAATATGTTATATCGTACTTGAATCTTTCTCTCCACCAAAACATTCATCAGTGCCTGTGATAGATTCCGTATCGTCTGGAAATTTTCTCTGATCCGTATTTTCTACAGTATCATCATTCAGGGGAGTTGAATGAGCATTTTTCCATCCAAGACGTCGTAATAACCTCTCAGCTAGTGTACCTCTGTAGTTAAATAAATGCACAAAACAATTATGTTAACTAGACTACGTTGAGATTTTTTTAGAATGTTAGTATCGCTTTAATAATTAGACATAACATATAAAAGCAGAATAGTTTATTAATAAATCAACTATAAGGTCAACAGTATTTTCGTCGGAATTCAATTACGGTGGGAAATATGCTTTCTATGATAACAGATAGGACGAAAACTTTGAGGAATCCCGTATGAAGTAACACCCTATGTACCACATTATTAGGGTTTGGAAGAAAAAATAAACATAAAGCAAAGGATGTCAAATTCAATGAGAAAGACATGAATGAAAAAGCAATAAGTACGGAGTAGAACAAGACAATGGGTAGAAGGATCGCCTGTTGAGAGGAATCACAAAGAGTTTATATAATACATATACCTAGCCCTTGATCAGCCATTTATATCTTGAGGCGAGTTCTGAAATCCAAAATGTCTTCTCGCCTGGTCATTAAGTATCCTACCTACGCCGAGCTTTGATTTACTGAAACTCTTTTCTCCGTCTGACGACTAACAACCTCCACGCCACGTACTGCAACATACTACTTACAAACAATCCTGCGAGTACTGTCCACCACAACGGGAATATATGTATTCAAGTTATAACGGTTGATTATAAGCCATAGTTCAAAGTTTTTAAATGGTACTGTAAATCACACTGAAAAATTCAACCACGGAAACCGGGTGTTCTTGCAAATGATGAGAGCAATAGTTTATGGCATCACGGACTATCGTTTAGCTTCTTGTCAACTGACTACAATGCCAGGCAACACAGCTTTTCAGAAAGATTGTAGCTGGACATGTGCGATACAATTACCAACCATCAGAACCTTATCAATTGGTTAACCCATTTCTACACCTAATACTAATATTACACAATATGTTAGTGATTATTTCAAGAGACTGACGACTGTATACCTCAATCTATATATATATATATATACCTTTAGCATCCGAGAACCACATTTCTCACCCGGATCTTGCAGACTGCTTCAAAGTATCCTCATCTTTTAGTAACCTCTGTGAAACCAAACCAGCTTTCAGTATCCACGTTGAGATCTCGTTAGTTTTCAGATCATAAGAGTTTATGAGATCCTCAATATAAGTAAAGCAGTTGATACATACATTCATTTTACTCTTTCTTATTACATTAAACACTCATGTTGACAAGTCCCAAGATAATACTTCATAGTTGGGGTAATAAATAAATCTATAATATTCAGAAAACTCAGAATTCTTTCCGTGTTCATTCGATAGAACTATGTCTTTTGTGTACTACTAGCTGATAAGTGTCTAAGGCAGACTAACATTTCAGAAGTTAGGAAAATAGTTTTATTTCTGGTATCACATGAGAACGTTGAGTGAAAATGAGGAAAATGGATACCTTCGATTTATACTACTCCAAACCCAGCCGAAAGTGCTCAAGTAGGATTATGTGTTTTGACACGTATAATGACAGATACTTCCACAAGACTTGTCAATCAAATGAGGCAAATGTTGCCTTAGGGATAGAGAATGAAAGTTCTTCTAGAATCTGAAATACACAGATTTGATTGACACATCCATAGTAAAAACATAAATCTATCTAACCTTTTTGATCTCATGTTTCTCTACCTCCAGTTAAGAATTAAATGATGATAAAGATTTCGAATAACTATCAACTTCTACCTAGGATTACCGTTTTTTCATGGATTATAGTAAATATTATTAGGAAAATTAATTTCCAACTAATTTTCGTACAACTGAACAATATAGAAGGTTAAGACATTGAAACATGGAAAAGAGTAATCTCACCTGGTAGCTACAATTAATCCTTTCAAAAGTGAACCAGCTTGTGGAATCACAGACTGATCACCTAATGCTAATTGCAATGTATCACGTACATGAGTGTCATCAAATTCATGAGTCGGTCGAATACGCCTTGGAGCAATACCGAATTCTCCGAAATCCTAAGAGGTGATTACAAAAAATTTTCACACTATTAGATAACATGATAACTTAATACAGTATTATCCATCCATATAATATTCGTATCTCATAAGCAATGTGTTTCATAAATTGCTTGATTACTGAGTGGTATTAATCGATTAGATATGTGTGCCTAGAAACAGGTGATGATTGTGCTTAGATGCTCTATCAATTTTTACATGTTTGTGGAGGGTCAAGAATACATATTAACAAGATACCCTGCTCTACAATATGAATAAAAGAGGTTGTTGTTAATGACAAGAGATATCTGATAACTGACTCGTGATACCACGAAGGAAGTGGCAAAACGTAAGTTGAAATTCACTTTTTGTTGTTTTACTTGTACCTTCTCATTGTTATTTAGGACTGTAATTGATCAATCTTATGTTGGCATATGTGCATCCTGTGCGGATTGTCTCGATATAGCCTTAAGTCACAAGCTTTTTAAGCAAAGATGGATAGTGGCTAGCAGTGGAATCCAGGACGCACGTTTCGTCCTACTTGGGATTCGTCAACACTTAACCCGCAAACCACCGAGCTGGCAACCAGTGATGTCAATGTGACATGGAGAGTCAATCAAAAGCAGTTTAATGAGAAGGTCAATCGATGGCAATCAGAAGTGACCCAAAGGACAAATGCATTTTATTAGCTAAGGAACGGATCAAGTTCCTAAGGATAAGAGTGGTATATACACGAATGATTATTTATAAATTTTATTCGGCAGTCCAATAAACTTTTTAACTCAAGTAGTCAGCTACGGAGGAAGGGTTAGCGCGTAGCACACTGTGTAGCAGTATTAGATTTCGGACATCGCCCGTCACAGCAGTCACAGAGAAGTTATTTTTTCAAACCCATGCAAAGATAAACAAAATTCCAGAATGCAGATTTCATCAGATCAGCTTATATCTATATTGCAGCAACAGCAAACAAAATTTCAAGCATCACAATTGAAAGTGATCGAAATGATGGCACAAAATTTGTCAATTCATAAAATTTCAGTACAGGTTTCCGAACTAATGACTCAGACCCCAACGACTTGAACAATGACGATGATGAATAGGCTTTTCGAGCAGTTTTATTTTCCGGAAACACTAGTTACAGACAATGGACCTCAGTTCGCATCGGAAATCTTTTCGAACTTCTTAAAGAAGGCAATCACACACACACACACTCGGTCACAGCCCTACCATCTCCAAACAAACGACCAAGCTGAGCGTTTTTTGGATACCTTCAAGAAAGCTCTCATCAACTCACAAGGGGAGGGCACGACAGAGGTCATCCAGAATTTCCTGAAAACATACAGAATAACCACGTTTCCAACCTCACCCAACCGTATCTCCCCTGATGAGTCAATATTCGGAAGGATGATTCGAACTTCATCTGATCGCATATATCCACAAAGGAGAAGACAAGATTATAAACCAAAGACGAAAACAATTGATCTTCGGTCTCCTAATGGGTTGCTAGTGTACGTAACTATCGACATTGGGTACCTACATAGGTAGCGGGTGTCATCGTAAAAAGAGTCAATGACGTGATGTACGAAATTGATGTTCCAGGTAAACGTCGGACGTGATATGTAAACCACTTCCATAACAGACGATCAAATTTAGATAAAGAACCTCCTAGTTCGAACTTGCAACTATCTAATTGATACAGTCAGTTTGGAGCATCAGGATCAGCGCGGACGAAGTGATGGCCAGACCCCAAGAAAACCGTCATCAAGACGACATTTGTTTCAACGCCTTCAGTAAAATCCAAGGAGCAAAACTTATTTTTCGGGGGGGAAAGGTGGTATGGAAAGCTAATCAGAAGTAGCCGAATGAGAAGGTCAACCAATACCAATCAGAAGGACGAACGTATTTCCTCAGGGGCAGATATATATATATATATATATATATCGGTATTTGTGTATTATATTCACCAGCCCAATATACTTTCATGTCCACTCTTGTGTTTTCGCTCAAGTAGTCAGTTACGGAAGAGGAGTTTGTGCGTAACACATCGTGTATCAGTACCAGATTTCGGACACCGTCCGTTGCAACACAATGTTTAACTTTAACCAATCCGCGATCTTGAGCGACTATATTGACTTCGAAGGGTCACTGTCTTGCACTCGACACGGCTTCTCGCTAGAACCCTGAGGATTCTCGGTGTGGTTTAGAAGATAGGCGAGACCGAAGACACTCGGTTCGAATTGCGGGATTGTGGGTGCGCACTGGTGAAGGGTCCCATACTAGGACGAAACGGCTGTCCAGTGCTTCCAGGTTTTCAATAATGGTCTAACATTGATTGGTCCATGATTTCAATAAAATTCAACAATCTCAGCAACCCAGAACTGAAAGTTTCAGGAGTATTTAACCCGTCCAATCAAACCGTTAAAGATTTGTTGATAAACAAATCATACTATTGAAGGACTATAATATGTAGTTATTCATTATTTATTGAGCTCTATCTTCAATAATCTGCCTTAATATGTAGACCTCCATTGATAATCATCCTGAACCAAACTGTAGCTGTTACCTTGGCATATTGATTAGGTGTGCCTGTCGTAATGACCTAATCAAGGTATTTTCATGGAACACGCTGCTTAGGATGCCATTATGCTAGACAAGTCAGTAAACGTTATTAATCAGATACAGATAGTTCGAAAACTATCACGTAAATGTGGAACCCATCACAACAGAGATGCACTAATCTACTCTAAAGACTCAGACATTTTCAATCAACCTCGACTTTCGAGAAATCCATATTTAACAGATTAAGTAGCTGCAGCAGAATGTTACTGCTAGAATTTTGTCCAAGTAGAGGGCCATATTAAATTGACTGAATAAAATCTACTGGACTCAGTACTAAATAAATCTTACTTCATCATCCATAAAATCCTCTGGATGTTGGGCGAACTTTTCATCTAAATCTCTCTGTCTATTTTTACGAGAGGAGTGGAAGCTTTTAGGTTTAAAACCTGAAAAAATAATCATCAAAAACCAGTCAAATCGGTGAATTAACAGGATTATATGATTATGAATATAATAAATCTGAAAACATATATATACAACATAAAAATTAAAGAGCATATTGCAATCTTTTTATTTCAATTAGCCTTGAAAGTATTCATTTCTCTGAAAAATACATTAAACGACAGTTGTGGGTTAGACGCCTAACTTGAATCCATACTAAACAATCAATTCATTTTTCTTTCTTTAAAGATACAAGTAGCGCTGAAAATCCTTCAGAGATCAATGATCACTATAAAATAATAATAAACACTGTTCAGGGTCAAGTTATTCACTTGGTGATCAAACCTGCCAGGAATACAATTTTCACATCAATTGAACGTCATATGCAACAATCGCCCAAAAATAGTAGGCGAGATTACAAAATAATCAAGATAGTGTTGCCATACAACTACGCCTGTAGTTTTTCTACGACTAATGCCGGTCCCAAGCCCACACAAAGGAGGAGGGTTGAGCATGGGGTCGGAAACCCCATACACCAAATTCCTTGATTATGAGAAAGCAATTGACAGTGCGAATAGAACATCATAGAAACTTCTTCGACACTATGAAGTGAGTAGCTGAAAAGATTGTCAACATCATAAGAAATTCATACGACAAACTACACTATAAAGTCGTTCATGGAGGACAGTTAACAGATGCATTCCAAGTGAGAACCGGTGTCAGACAAGGCTACCCACTCCCACCCTTTCGCTTCCTCCTGGTGGTCGATTATACTGTGAAGACCTCCACATCTGATGGGGAGCACGGAATAAAATGGGTAGGTTGGATGCAACTAGACGATTTGGACTAAGCAGATTACCTGGCCCCTCTATCCCATACACATCAACAGATGCAGGTCAAGACAAACAGTGTAGCAGCAGCAGAAAGCCTCAACATACACAAGGGAAAGAGAAAGATCCTCAAATACAACACAGAGAACACCAACGCAATCACATTTGATGAAGAAGCTCTGGAACAGGTGTAAACATTCACGTACCTGAGAAGCAACATCGATGAACGAGGAGGTTCAGAAGCAGACGTAAAGGTAAGGATTGGCAAAGCAACGAAAGCATTCCTACAATTGAAGAACATATGGAACTCAAAACAACTTTCAACCAATATCAAAGTCAGAATCTTCAATACGAACATCAAGACAGTTCTACTGTACGCAGCTGAAACTTCGAGAACTACAACAACCATCATCAAAAAGGTACAAGTGTTTACAAACAACTGTCTAAGTAAGGTACTCAATGTCTGTTGGCCGGATACCATCAGCAACAGCCTACTATAGAAGAGAACAAACCAGCTTCCAGCTTGGGAGGAAATTAGGAAAGGACTCTAGAAATGGATAGCACACATATTGAGGAAGACATCAAACGGCATCACGAAGCGAGCGCTAACTTGGGATCCTGAAGGGAAACAGAAAAGAGGAAGGTCGAAGAACACACTGTATTGAGAATTAGAAGCAGACATGAAAAGTTTGAAGGGCAACTGGAAACAATTGGAAAGGATTGCCCAGGACAGAGTTGAATGGAGAATGCTGGTGGGTGGCCTATGCTCTTCCACGAAGGGTAAGAGGCGTAAGTAAGTGTTGCCATACAACTCAAACTATGATTTCCGAAAATCGTATAGAAAAAAATCACTTAACAGTATACGAAAGCAAGTAACTTCTGGATTTACCCTCTTTAGACCCAACTGAATTGAAATATCCAGCAGAAAATCCTCCAGTGAATGCCCCGTGAAACCTCATAGGTCGACCCCTTTCATTCAGTACGCGGTTTTCATAGGCGGATGGAATAGCTTTACGTTTACCCAAAGCAAGGCCACGAAATCTGCTTTGCTCTAATAACAAATGACCTTTATTAAATCACAAACAAACCATCTTCATCATCACTAAAAGGATCGCCATACGCGACAAACGAATATTCTTCTGGATCAACTGGTGAGGACATTGTATGATAAACGCAATCCACTGAACTTCAAATTCTCATACCTATAGATTGTGAGTAACAGTAACAGAATCAATAAAAAATACACCAAAAACGTGTGCTTTTACTCATTTAGTCCTTATTGTGTACAAAATTAAACCTCGATACTACTTTACTTACTGGTTTCCAGACTTCTTTAAACGAAATATAGTGTGCAGCTACAGAATACCAGAAATAAGTGTCATTAGATTGATGAGTGAACCGTGATTAAATCAAGCAGTTTATAAGAACCCGGCAATAGGTTTACACTGCTCTCCTGCTATGACTTGAGTGGCCAATTACTAAGAGTAACATAATTCCAGACAGAGTACATGATTGGGTATAAGTGGTATTTATTAATGAGCGTTGACTCAAAGCAGGAATTGCTATAAACTTTGCAAGTTTATTTATTTATTCGAACTCATAAATATTGGTACAAGGGGGCACCAGATATGCTTACCGAAGTTAAGCAACGTTGGGCCCGGTCAGTACTTACATGGGTGACCGACTGGGAATACCGAGTGTCGCCGGCTTTCTTTGGAGACCATAATACGTTGAAAACTCTGTAAGTACTCAGATAATTCACTTTATATTTACTAGGATGAGGGTTGTGCTCATATCCTCATTAAAAATGAAATAAAACCTATAATACGAACAAAAATTGAATGAGTATGGATTCATCCACACTCAGCAAACAGTTAGTTTAAGCCACAAAAATCAGTGCAGCAGCATCTACCGCACTGATAGATGCTCGAAAACTCATTCCATCTGGATCTGAACATAACGAAGAGCGGATTCAGCTTAAGCGCAAGCTGACAAGAAGCCTACGCAATGATCGCGAACAGTGGTGGGTAGCGAAAGCAAGAGAGACGGAAAAGGCAGCGGCAATAGGTAATAGCAGACAATTGTTCAGACTCGTTAGGGAAACCGGTATTAGGAAACCGACTGTTAACGAAACAATCTCAGAGAAAGATGGACATATTATACATTCTCAATCCAGGAGATTGGATCGATGGGCAGAACACTTTAGGGATCAGTTCAACTGGCCTTCAGCCACACTTCGGTTTCCCAAGGTCTCCAGTCGACCTGAATGGCAAGTTAATGTAGGTCCTCCGACTCTTTACGAAGTTGAAAAAGCTATAGGAAATCTGAAGCGTGGGAGGGCAACAGGCCCTGACAGGTTTACTCCTGAGATTTTTAAGGATGGTGGTCCAGTATCAGCAGCGAGATTGACTGAGGTGTTAGGTAGAATTTGGGAACTGAACGTAAACCCATCTGACTCTGGTTTCAATCACTGACTGTGGCAGTCTATAAGAAAGGACAAAAGTCTTCTTGTGACAATCACAGAGGAATCGGTTTGACTAATATAGTGTCTAAAATATTAGCTTCAATAATACTTCGACGCCTAACTAAAGCTCGTGAAGAGCAGACTAGAGAAAATCAGGCCGGTTTTCGACCTGGACGTGGTTGTATAGACCAGATATTCACACTACGTCAGGTCACAGAACATAGACACACATTTAGACCCCCCCCCACAATAGTAGTATATCTCTACCTTAAAGCAGCATTCGACTCTGTTGATCGTGAGGTTCTGTAGCAGTGTTTGTCACTGAAAGGAGTACCAAAGAAGTACATTAACCTTGTAAAGGATCTCTACTCGAACACAACTGGTAGAGTGAGAGCTTTTAGCGAACTGCCATCAGAATTGATTACCTCAAGTGGTGTTCGTCAGGGCTATCCACTCTCTTCATTCTTGTTTAACTTTGTCGTTGACGTGCTTTTAGAGATAACACATTCCTCATCTAAGTTTCCAGGGGTTGAACTTCCACCTGGAGATTCACTTTTTGATCTAGAATATGCCGATGACATAGTTCTATTTGGTGAAAACACTGACAAAATGCAGTCTTCTGACCACTCTAAGCAACAATGCCAGCAAGTTCGTGATGCGATTCTCCCCCTCGAAATCCAAAATGTTGCTTCAGAATTGGGTTGCATCGACACTCGAAATACTAATAGTGAGTGAAATAGTTGAGCGTGTCGACCTCTTCAATTATCTTGGAAGCCTCATCAGCCTTTGTGGTCAGGTGTGCGACGAAATCTCAGCACGGATACAGAAGGCTCGACTAGCTTTTGTCAACTTGCGTCATTTATGGAGTAGGCGAGATGTCCGTCTAGCAACCAAAGGACGAGGTTACTGTGCAGCAGTTCGTTCCGTCCTACTTTATAGCTGTGAAGCATGGTCGGTAAGAGTAGAGGATATTCGTAGGTTACTAGTATTCGATCATAGGTTTCTTCCTAGCATTATTCGTATATCCTGAGACCATCGAGTAAGTAATGCAGTTGTTAGGAAACAGGTACTAGGTATGGGTGGCAAATCAATTGATGAAGCAGTGAAAATTCATCAGTTGGAATGACTGGGACACGTGTTACGTATGCCCAACCACTGACTGCCCCGATGTGTGATGTTTTATGGTGTAGGATTAGGTTGGAAGAAAGCTAGGAGCGGCCAGACCGAAACATGGCACAAGTCCATGAAGTCACTGACAAGTGGACCGAGCCATGTTGATAGGTGTAGACTACCTGATTGTGGACCGCGAGATGACAACAACTGATGGTTAGAGACGTTGAATGGCACGGTTGAAAGTCGTTTGCAATGGTGCAGGTGCATACACTCTTTGTGTTCTCCCAAATTCTAATCTTCTGAATTCTTCACGTCCTTTTTCTCTCCAAATTTATCTCACCAGAATATACTCCGTGAAAAGCATCTTCAAACTCTAATCTTTCTGATTAGTGTTTATGCTGTTACTACCTCTACCACTATGGGATTTGAGTCGGCAATTGTATCTGTGTGGTAATTTTGTATGGCAACTCGAACTGATGTACGCACATACGAAGTTCTACGTTGTTACTGACTGACTGAGTATTAGGAGTATTGTATAAATTGTGATATTGTTTATAGTTCATTATAGGTATCTTCATATGATCAAACTATTTCATTAAACGTCATATAGCTGTTTCAGGTTGACTGTTTTCTAAAAGTCTACTCTATTTTTTAACTTCACATAATATTTAGATTAGTTTTCGTATACTCAAAGCGCAAGTGAATAATGTTACAATTTAGTCTGATCCACTTGAGGAAATATTTTCAAGGAAATTAAAATAAATCGAACTAAAATTGTTCAATCACTTGAAAATGACTCAGTTGAAATTAAATCTATCTAAAACTAAATATTGCGATAGCCTAAGTTCTATAGTTATTGCCTATGTGGGAAAGAATTTGCTGAATTGTAAAATTTCTAAAATAATAGGCAGAAAAATTGATAGATTTGTGCGGCGCAGACGTATTTGGAGCCTCCTTGTACTAATGCTTATGCTTAAATACATGACACTTAGAAAAAAGCTTCTGCTTTAGGACAGGATTTGGAATATTTATATACGTGCCATAAATCTTAAATCAAGTCATATTTGACGTTCAGGTCTAACTATAAATTTAAAACTTTACATCTGAACCTAGACATTGATACACAAACTACAAAATTTTCCGAGCTCTAATTATCAATTTCGATCCAAACCATAATATTGAACCTAAATCCCAGATTTAGTAATATGTATCTATATGTACTAAGTTCTAGTCAGACGAAAAGACTGAGCCTTCAGGAGTAGCTCAAACTTGCCACTAAATTGAGGTGTACAACTGATTCTGTTACGTAAGCGTTGAAGAGTTAAAAAAGGCTACTGGTGTCCAAGTCAAAAGTGTTTTTGATGCAGAGGAAAAACGAAAAGCAGCGTACGTTAGGCTGGAAGACAGAACAAGAGAACTAGAGCAAACGACTATATAAGGATATAGAATATTCTGTTCAGTGGATATGCACTGACATCGAGTGTTAAAATTTATCAACAACGAACAGCGATGAAACAAAACTGATAATTGGGACTAGAAATTGACGACATTAGGTCTCGAGCGCGCCACAACTGGTCAGGCTCAAGCTTACCATACTCTTGTCTCAGCGACCTTGAGCAGCTCAGCTAACCTTGAACGAGTCGAAAGCCCGCAGTTAGACAAACTGAAGACTCAATTGACAATAAGCAAACATCAAGAAACATGATGTAAAAAATCAAGTGAATTGCTGCAACCCTAATTAATTAACAAGACATTTCTCTCATTACACGCAAAATGAGAAATTCTGTCTCGCATTCTAAGCTGATTTGGATTATCTTAAGCAAGTGACAAAAACGAGATCCTGAAATGCAACACAGAGAACACCAATCAACCGCACTTATGGAAAATCTCTGGAATGGCTGAGAACCTTCATATACCTTGGCAACATCCTCGATGAAAAAGGAGAATCTGATGTACCTGCAAATGCAAGGACTGACAAGGCAAGGACAGTATACATTTAAAGAACAAAGCAAAATCAGGAACAAGACTTTCAAACTCAAAAAATAATTAGGAAGAATACCCCAGGCATGAATAATAAGCTCTTGCGCTTAAACCAGAATCAAGCACAGTGGTACTAGGGTAGCGATGAATGGAAAATTAACACATAACCTTTGAACCATGCAATTCAATTTTACGTTTATCGGAACACTAAAATCAAAAGTAATATCCATTCACCACCTTACTTACTTACTTACTTACGCCTGTTACTCCTCGTGAAGGAGCATAGGCCACTCACCAGCATTCTCCATCCAACCCTGTCCTGGGCAATCCTTTCCAGCTCCGTCCAGTTGTTATTCATCCTTTTCATATCTGCTTCTATTATCCGACGCAATGTGTTCTTTGGCCTTCCTCTTTTTCGCTTCCCTTCAGGATTCCAAGTTAGGGCTTGCCTCGTGATGCAGTTTGACGATTTGCGTAATGTATGTCCTATCCATTTCCATCGTCTTTTCCTAATTTCTTCTTCAGCTGGAAGTTGGTTTGTTCTCTCCCACAGAAGGCTATTGCTGATGGTATCCGGCCAATGGATGTTGAGTATCTTGCGTAG